TGTGCTCGTCACTGCAGTGCTCCAGCTCATGAACCCCCTGAACACCTCCTACTGAAGAGCTTCTCTCGCCTCTATACCAATTCCTGGTGTGGCAGCAGCGTGACAGGCAAACTCGCAAACCGCTTCCAAAGGACTTGCCACATTTGTTTTTCCAGGCTGAAACAAGAAGCAAGTGCTTTAAAGTCTGCTCCCAGTCCTAAGGGGGAGCTTTAAAGCAGAGCAAAGTCCACTTCCAAGGGTGTTTTACTTAAAGAGCTGAGTGGGAGGAAACAGGAGACGCTTCCCTGGCTCTCCGTAGGGCACGGCACAGCTGGGGGCTCCCACGGCAAGTCCTGGCATTGCACTGGGGATGCCGTGTTCCCTGGGACCAGCTACAGACCAGCTCTGGCTGGATAGCTGGAATGCACTTTGCTAAGGTCATTTTCAGCCCTTCCCACTCCTAAAAGCCATCTAACTCCAGGAAATCTCACAGCAAAGTACCCAACAGGGTCCTCTCTCTGGGTCAAGCTGCCCAGGAGGGTGCAGAGCAGGAGAAGGGATGTTTCCTTTGGGTTGGTTTTTGTTGTGCATTCTGAAAGGGTCTGGTAGGATATCACAAATGACATCAGGATCTCCCAAAATGCATTTGGAAAAGGCACATATACAATTAAGCATATATCTAACTACACAATACCATATATATATATAAATATACTTTCTCAAGCTCTCCAGCTGCCCCAGACCACAGGCCATCCATTTTTGTTTTTAAATGCTATTAAGCCAAGCTAAAACATGAATTGCTAGCAGAAAAGCCAATCTCATCACCCTTTTCCTAAAATCCCACACTGACTTTAGGTAACTCTGGCAGCCTCCCTCCTCCCCCCTCATTACATTATAAAGCACAGCAAGAGTTAAGGAAAGGAATTTATCCAGCGAAGGAAATGCATTATGTAGCTCCTGCCCTTGGCTGAAATAAGCACCTTTGCTGCAATTACCTCCAAAATTTCTTTCTGGAGGAAGGAGCATCTGTTGTCTGGCTTCTTTTACATCAGAACAAGCTAGCCCAGGACCTGGGCAGTATTATTTGAAGGGTTGGGTTTCATTACTGATGTCACAGAATCACACAGAATCACTGGGTTGGAAGAGACCTCCAAGATCATCGCGTCCAACCCAGCCCTAGCACCTCAACCAAACCATGGCACTGAGTACCACATCCAGTCTTTTTAAAAACACATCCAGGGATGGTGACTCCACCACCTCCCCAGGCAGACTATTCCAAAACTTTATCACCCTTTCTGTAAAAAACTTTTTTCTAATATCCAACCTACACCTCCTGCCTTACAGCACAAATTTAGGGAAGCCCTTGTAAACAGAAAGAAATTTGGAAACTGTGACAATTGAGAATTTCTTCACCTTGCAGTAAACATACTTTAGGTTCACATGGCCACTTTGTGAGCTGGGTTCTCACATTGTAGAAACCAGTACCACTAAAAATCAGGCCAATTAACCCATTTAAAATCTTCCTCTCTACTACAGACCACTACAGGTTAATGCCTAGACACCTTTCACATCACATCATAGATGAAAGCACTTTTTAAGGAGAATAAAATTATTTTAATCCCATAAGTTATTGAGTAAAGAGTGGGCTTTACTGAAAAATGCAATATATTTTGATGTGCACTCCCAACTGATTACAAAGAGAGGTGACTGTGAAATTCATCTGTCATATTTGCAGATATATAGATAATGCCCTTTGCTCCAAGGATATGGATCACACCAAGAGCAGAATAAGCAGTCACACTTCTCTTTAAATTAATAGGCTTTTAATCCTCTAAACTGAGTCAGAATATTGCCATTTTTGATGTAAAAGAAGCAAAAGGGTTTACTGGCAGAGAAGTGCACAGAATTTCTTTTTTTTTTTTTCTTTAAATGAAAATGGGGAATGCTTACAGAAAGCCAATTGTAAATTTGCAAATGCATGTTTCTAACCAGAAACCCGATTCCAAGAATTTCAAAAGAGTCCAATAAAAATCAGCCAGGTTCAATTTCCAGCACCAAATACTAAGTACAAACGGATTTGGAGGCCAAGGATTAGCTACTGAAATTCCTAGTACACTGTGAATGACTAATGAACTTGATGAAACTCAAGAGCTTTTCTTAGAAATCCAATTCTTGCAGAGAGCAAGCAAGAAAAAACACTCAAAGAAATCTCTGCTGCCCCATTTTGTTCACTTTTGTGAAGGGACAAACTGCATTACATAAAGTTGTCTAATAATTTTCAGCAGGAATTGAATTCTAAAGTACATGTTAATTCAAAATTTTGTTCAAAATTTGAACTAGAATTTAATCTTCTTTTCCTAACTCTAGAATAGAAGTCTTCAGTTAATGTTTAGAAAAGGACATTGATAATAAGAAATTAATGTGACACCTCAAGCTTCTTCCTCTCCAAAAAATGTAGTTTCTATAAGGTAATTGCTCAGTGCCTCCCCAGTTCCCTGTGCCTGTGACACCTGGACATCCTGATCTCACCTGCTACCATTAGATCAAGAAGCTGGACTTAACTGAAGCCAGGTCCAAAATCAGTGGGCCTCCCCATCTGATCCTTTAAACATCTACAGAACACACCCTACTGGAGGTATCATCAGTGAACCAAAGTGCACACTAACAAAGTGCAGATGTAATTGCAGCCAGCTGATGTGTGGATACACAAGAGATTCTCTACCTTTCCCGTATTCTGGTGCTTTCCCAAACAAAGGCAGACATTTTATACTCTTTTTCCCTAGTGCTAACTATTCCAAGAAACCACAGCCCAATGTTCTTTCACTGACCACAGAGGGGAGAACAGAATGTTTCCCCCAGAGACTGAAAGGATTTGCCGGCAACCTTTCTCTCTTGGTTGGGCATGTGTTTTTCTTGCGGCCCAAGCAACCCTCAAGGCCCAAGAACCTTTCCCTTTCCACCCTTGTTCTTAAAGGACCTTTCCTGCCTCAGTAAATCACAACCACTTTTTTTTTTCTTTTCTGAATTTCCAGGCACATCCTGACAAAAAGCACGGCCGCCTGCCTCCTAAGCCCACCTCCCTGACTGCAGAGAACCAGCCACACGGAATAAAAGCGATGCCCTCCAGCATCTCCCTGCTTTTCTCCTGCACAAACTCTTTTGACTGCACCAGGCACAAGACAATGAGAATGGTCCAGAGGACAGCACTGGTTCATTTGCCCCAGTTTCCTCTACATTAGGGTGAAGAAAGAAGGAGGGGGAGGAACCCAACGACATTAAGAACAATGTTGGGAATAGATCTTTAAATCTCTCTCTCCAAAGCCTGCATATTCCCAGCCTTGATAGGTCTCACATTACACAAGATGACATTTCTCTCCATATTGTATTATAATTAATAGGCTACTGCAAGACTTTACCAGCTCCTACTTAATAGCATTGCAGTGCTGGGAAGCAGTCATCAGGTAATCTGGCCATGATCTACTGTATTCTTTCTAAACACAGGTTCTAGCTGCCAAGAATGTCACCATAAAAAGATTTCAATCAATACCACTCAGCTCCTACTTTCAAATGCTCCAGGTCTAGGAAGAGAAGAAGGAAAAAAAACCAGTACCCTCAAAACGAACAGCAAACTGGCATATGCATCAAGTGCACAGATTGGAGGGAGCAGATGGGAATTCATTATGGCCTGATCTTGCTCTCTCTTTTATACTTTAGTAACTTTATCCTTTGGAAAAGGTCTCCCCAAACGCATGGAGACCGTGCGTGCGGAGGGGGTTAAACCCATCCAGATCTTTCCATTCTCAAGCTGTGCTCTTGTTGCCAAACAACAACATTTCAATTGTGATTGGTACAAACAGTTGGGTTTCAATGGCAATCTGTCCCGTAGGTTTAAGCCCAGTTTTTACTGATGAAACTTGCTGGGTGGTTGCTGGCTTTGTTATTTACTGAGAGAGAAAGAAAGGAAACAAAACAGATCAGTGGACTTGTTTTCTTGTCCAGTCTCTAGATCAAGGACTCACTCTGGAGTGTGTTTCTCCACTTGCTTTCCCTAAAGGAAAATTAATAAAATAGGAGTGTAAATGAAATCTTTAAGTTCAAATCAAGACACAACACCTACACCTCCACTTATCGCTTTCTGAAGAAGCAGGGAAGGCTGTACGTGACCTGTTGGTCACATGTATATGACCTGAAGGTCGTATGTAACCTGGCATAGCCAAGGCTATCCAGCAAAACCTGCTAATACTTTCACCCCTAAATTAAGCAGAATTGATGACATACAAACAAAAGGAAATCAGTGGTTCCACCAAATAAGCAAGCAAGAAGTCAACAAGAGAAAAAACAGTCAAGGTTCGGATCACAATGTAGCTGAAGTAGTTGGGGCAGCTCCATTAAATTCAGTGGAGCCAAGAGGATAAATGCTGGCCAAGGATCTGACTCCTAACGCTTTCCCAGCTGCATGTCTTAGTTTAGGCTGCTGCCAAGAGGTTAACACTGTAATAGTAGAATGAGAAAGTATTTACATAATTATATATCTATATATACCTATATTTAAAGAACACTTTGCTACTAGTACTTTTGTCATTTAAAAAAATCCATAATTTTAACCCAAAAGTATTTCAGAAGAACAGCAGAACCTCTTGAGTAAACTACAGACTCTCACTGACTCCTAGGCCACTTACTGTCCTAGCAGCATGTTTAAATGTTATTTCTAAATGCTCTTTCTTAAAACTTAGGGTGCAACTAGAGAAGTAAGGCTCCCAAGGGTCTCTAAGAAGCCAGTGAAACAACACATAGGCATGGAGTAACAGAATATTAACAATTCTAAAAAAAGGTGCTTCATAAGTTAAGGAAAATAAAAACACAAAGCCTCAAACTTACCACAGAAGGCCCTCAGACTTATGAAACTAAACTGCTGTAATGTGGTACAGTGTTAAGACATACATTTCTTTTTTTCTTTTTTTTTTTTTTTTTAATTTATTTACATTCTAGAGGGGCAATAGACACTGAACCCAGGAAAACAGCTCACCCTTGAAAGTGATTTTGAAAGGAATATTGACTTTGATTCATGCTCCTAACTCCCTAACAGTTTTGCTTTAAAAATAATTGTTCGTTCTGCAGGACAAAGTTCCCCCCTTTCCTCCAGCCACCGAAAGTTCGCACCAGATCTTCACATTAGGAAAAGGCTCTCCTCTGAAATGTTTCTACCTATTCCTCTGAAATTGCAAATGAATGGCATCTTGATGGGACTTGAAAGCACCTGGCATGGTTGAGTGATATCCCAAAAGAGGACATGGTGTACAACTGACTGAGACGGACACGGACTGCCTTCCAATTCCCGCAGAAAGCAAGGCGGATCACTCCCCAAAAACCGACGGCCATAACAAACCCCTCCTTTATCCATTCCCTTCCTTCTTTCCATTCTTAAGCTGGGCAGAGAAAATGAGGTTGGGTCCACAAAAAATAAGGTTAATAATAATAATTAAACAACAGCAACAACAACAACAGCAACAACAACAAAATAGGCGTCTCAATGTCTGAGGAAAAGTGGGATTGTAAGTGCAGTATTTCTTCATGTGCAGTTCTTCTACTTCATACGAGTCCCCTTTGGATGAGAAGGCCTAGCGGAATGTGTGCTCCCCCCGGACTATGTGCGATGAGAACTCATAGCGGTCCTGGCTCCGGTAGCCACAGATGTTGCACTCCAGCGGGTCCCGGTAGCCGTGGCAGCCCATGTGGATGGTGTACATGACATGGTCCAGGAAGAGGACGCGACAGTGCTCACACTTGAAAGCCCTAATCTGCTCCCCTTCTCCGTTGATCACCTTGTACATATCCTTTAAAGAGCCCTTAGGAGCTTTTGTGACCTCCAAAGGCTTGGCCTCCTCCTTCACATAAGCCGGGTTTGGCTTTATCTTGGGGGTTAAGGCAGCATTTCCTGGGTAGGACTGGCGGTCGTCGTGGCTGCTGTCTGAGTCAGTAGAATCCAGGCAGCTATTGCTGGGGGAGCCCTCTCTATCCTGGATTCGACTCTTTGGTCTGATGAGGGAGATGGGGCCATCCATGTTGTTCTCGTGGCTGTCGGCTGTTTCCCTGCTGATGGGCCTCTCTATCCTGCTGGGATGATAGACCTGAGCGTAAGCTGAGCTGATGACTGGGGCCACCTCTGCAATTGTGCTCGGTGTGTGCTGCATCAGGGGGTGAAGTGCCTCAGCTCCAAGGTAGGTGATTGCATTGGTGATGGCTTGGTCCATCATGTGAGACTGCATCAGCTCAGCCTCCTTGTCATAGCTTAGGTTCATATCAAAGGGGATATCTGGATAGCCAAATCTCATGAACTTTTCACCTAAGAGATAAAAGCAAATACATGAGCAAAATCAACATAATCGCTGCAATGTTTCACTGTGAAATGGGTGGGGCGGGATGGAAATGCGCTGACTTGGGGTGAAATTATTCCAGAGTCTAAAGTTAACCTCCTTCTAATATTACTGACCTCATATAAAGTTCCTGTCCTGAGTTGGGTAAAACAATACCCTCACCAAGAGATATTTTTTTTAGTTTATTCCAGATGAAACATGTGGCTGCAGCAATTTCCAGAGCAATTTCAAATCTTCAACTGCACCTGACCATGCCCACACTTCAGGTTGGGAAATATATGTTAGCTGGTAGATAATGGATTGAAATATTGAGGCCACTGAAGGTCTGGCAGAGCATACCATTAGACATGCTCTCCCCAAAATTCAAGGGACCATTTCACGTGTTCCCCACAATCTGAGGTGCCTCACATCTACCTTACAACACGGCTGCACAGTGAGAAGCCTAAACAACAGGTACAGGGGGCTTTTTATGGTGGCACCTTTAGAGCCACCATAATGTAATCATTCAACCAGCAGAAAAAAACCCCAAACATGAAATGAGAGCATGTGGACAAGAATGAAGATGAAGCCATTTGCAGGAGCAGTGGAAGCTGATCTTTGCAGTTTTCCTCCTTCAAAAAAAGAGATTCTATCCTTTTTGGACTGAGAAAAAAAATACATTCACACACCCCTCCCTTCCCAGTGTCTATTTAGGCAAGAAAACAAATAGAGAAACCACAAATATAGCTTAGTTTCACATGGTAAAAGGCAAAAGCATCTTTCATTGACACAGGATAAATTTATACATAATGATGCTGAAGCTGGCTGATTTGTAACTTTGAATCCTAACTCACATCCTTGTAACCTTTTCACATCAATGGCATGACAGATGTGCAAAACCAGAACCACATGCTGGTAACATTATGGCAGTCACAGGGCACCATGTTACACATCACAGTTCTCCTTGGAGGTGAACAAATTGACCACTGCTTACACCAGGGCTCAGTTCAGCAGCACTGCTTTTCCACTGATGGCTTTGGAGTGTCAGGACAGGCAAAGTTCATGGGATAACTTCTTTTTAGACAGGAAAGATTATATGTATATGATACAAGATACACACGTTCCTATGTGTTCACACATGTAATTAGCTAGCTGTTGACAGATAACTTTTAAAGCTGATTTTATGTAGTCTGATAAATAATTTCGGTTGGTTTTCATTGTCTTTGTTACTTCACTTCCTCGGGACACAAAAGAAGACTTTTTTTTTTCCAGTAGCATAAGCTAATAAATTCAAGAAGTCACTACTTACAAGTGGTTTGGCTACTCAAGAATTAAATTACTCAGGAATCTTCTTCTATCACCTTTTGCCAAAATTGCTTGGAACACAATGTGTATAAACCACTATAAGAAACAGAACTGTAATCCCAAATCTCTTCCAAATTGCATTAGTACATTTCAACACAGCTATCACTCAGCATTTTATTTTTGACTATAATAATTCATTCCACTTAGTGTGACTTATTCCAAAGTGATGCATAGAGAATTAACCATGTTATCCTCAGAGATGATGCCTCACTTCTGCTGGGGAACTTAGCCCTGATTATCAAGGTAATTAAATGTAAGTCTAAAGTGAAGTACATGAATATTCCTACTCTGTTCAGCAATACTGAACATACCATGTTCGTGTATCAATGATGTGTACTCAACAATGGTCCTGGTAATCTAACATGACCTGTAGATGTCCCTTGCCATCAAACATCTTCTTTTCAGTCTTTTGCATGTGGGCTGGCAGCCTGTGATGGCTGTGCTGCCACAGACAGGATGGACAGCTCTGCAACTGGATGTGGCTCCAGCCTCCCATGGAACAGTGCAGCCCCCTCCCAAGTGGGGCCAAAGGGGGACTGGAGGACAGCTCCAGGAGGCAAGTATGGCTGGTGTCCACTGGTGCCCGTCACCTTCTCTGGCCACCTGTGTCATTCTTGTGTTTGGATAAAGAAATGGATCTGGTGATGGTCTGATCCAGCTCCCAAACACACTGTCAGTCCTTTGTAGGCTTTACAGATACAAGAAATATTACCCATCCTTTATGGGCTACTTGGATAAATGATGCAAACCTTATTTTGATTCCTTTCATCATCCATGTTTAGTTACTCCAGCACAGACAGCAAAGAAAGCTGTAAATTGCCAGTGACCTGAATTATTTATTCCTTTAATTATGCACCAGTTCCAAAGATGTCAGAGCCTGAGAAATTGAGTGTGACATAAAAAAGTAAAATAAATGATAACACAGGAGGGAGAGGGCGTAAAACACGGAGCTCAGAAGTAACCAATCAACAGTCCAATAGACCAGTACAATGTGGTTTCCAAATTAAATTTCTCTTTAGCCAATCCTATACTTAAAATCAGCTAATCAGACCAATCATTCTGAATTTTCATTTAAACTATGCTCAAAGTCTATTTATCCTTGCCCTATGTTAGTGAAGTAGAAGAAAAAACATTCTCCCCTCTGGCCATATGACATTCAAGTAAACCCCAAAACAGGTATTTAAAGCTAGATCAAAGCACACAGCCACAGCTGCCCTGTGATACCTGTAGTCCATCTAATCAAGTATCTAAAGCAGCTGCCATGTGGACACTTGGGAGAAAGCTACAAGAAACCTTGGAGAAAGCTGTTCCAGCATTTCCCCCAGGGAAGTTTCTCCCTGACCCCCATTAACCAGAAGCTGACTGTAATTTGGCAGCTGGCTGATCTTCATCTGTTCTGAGACGCCTGTGTATTTTTAATTCTTACTCTAACAACCATGGTCTTATCGTAAGCCACATAAATGTCTCCTTTTGCATCCTGCCAGTTCTTAACCTCAGTGACATTCTGAGAATAAGCTCCAAATTCCAGCTGAAAATACGTGAATCTGCTTCACATGACCAGCCTGAAGACAGCTGCTTTTAATTTAACTGGTGTCTGCCTCTCCCCCATTAACAAGATGCAAAAAGTACTCACACTCCTGTACATCAAAAACTGTACTTTCTGCCTCCACTATTTCAACTGGATTGGTAAGACTAGTAGCTCAAGAGCAGATATATCACCAGGTCTCTGACACAGAAATGAATTCATTCTATTTGCTGTATGCTGCTTCCTTTCCTCTTGAAAATTCAGCCATAGGAGAGACTGTGGTCCATAACCACAGTCCCTTGGAGATTGCTGATCAGAAAGAGCAGTAAAGCATTGATAGATGTAGCATGCAAAGATTATAGCTTATGCTTACATGACCTTCTCATAAACACCATTAAGTTGTTTTGGACAGGTGCCACACTTGCAGTATGCACAGGAAAATTTCCTGCAAGCAACAAAACCATTACACATTCTTCCTGATAGAGATGAACAATATTTAATTGGGGAGAAAAAGGGAAGAAAAGTGAGGTCATGGTGGAGAGGAGAAAAAAAATAAATAGAAAGGCAAGCAAGTGAAGACTGCTGTTATTCAATCTAAATACTGTGATGCCACTAAAGATCAGAAAAATAAGACATGGTAAATATGAAAGGGGGTACTTTTTTTCCTACATATGGATAGTGATACGTTACACCTATAGAAAAAAATGGATTTATCTAACAACAAAGTAGTATAACCTGCTGAAGAGAATAATAATGTGGTATAGCATCTCTCAGGCAAGGATTTCCAGACAGTAAATTTACCTCTGAACACAAGAACAACACATGGTCAATGGTGCATGAGTGGACAAATAAAATCACCTTTCTGGTCTAAATCTATAACAACATAGGATGTACTGATGTCTCCCAGCATTCCCCATGTGGGATGGATCATTGCTGGCCTAACCCCAGCTCAGCACTGATATTTGGGAATGGTCAGCTGACTGAGAGCAGCCAGGTCAGTGTGTCAGTCCCCCCAGGTGAGCTGCTGCACACTGCTGGCCCCCTGCTATTCCAAACCATGTAGCTTACTTACAGCCACATTCAGGGGTGATTTAACAAATCCATCTGAATCTCATTTAGCTGAGGGGCAACAACTTTTCTAAGTGGCTGTGCTAATTGCATAGAGTGCTCTGATCCTCTCTGTAAGTGCCCTCAGCACTGGCAGAATGAGACACCCTTAAGTTCTGTGTGACTGCCCTTCCAGGGAGTGAGCATGGAAAAAGCCTGTTAGTGACTCCAGAGTCTAACACCCCAAACAATTCTCTGCCCCATCTTCTCTCCTAAGAAGTTTTGCCTTGCTTCAGTAGCAGTAAAAAGAAGCTTTAAGTTATAGCTCAAACCAAGTAAAATTCTCCATACTGTCAACAGTTACAAGCTGAATAATTTTAATATGTCAAGACACAAAGCAAAATATGAATTCTTGACCTAGGATTCTAAATCTAGTAATCAAAAGCCACCCAATGCTGTTTTGTATTCATGTATTAATCAGTTTATTGTGTGCAGAATGCTGCACTTGGAGCAAGAACTTCTTCTTCCAACACAAGGGATGTGATTTACTTCCTCATGCCAGTATTATCAGACCAGTTGTTGCCAAGTGTCAGGAATTTAATACAAATTAGAAGTCTTGAGATACTTCTTGTTTGTTTTTTTAACACATATGGAGACAGATAATTATATGACAGTCTTAGCTTTTTTTTGTTTTGTTTTGTTTTTGCTTTTTTTTTTTTTCTGGAGCAAGAAGAAGGAAGATGACAAGTCTAAATCTCAAAAGGGTTAGAGAGAAGTTTAAAAAAACACAACACAGCTTTAAGTAAAAAGATCAAGGTTTTCTAAGGTATTTTCATGATAGTGGACTTCACTTTTGAATTCTCTGGACTGGTAAAATGATTTCAGTAATTATCCTGATTTCTTGCTGTGATTTAACCACCTCCACTGTTGTATCAAAACCAAGTTGTGAGAGTGCTACTTTTCCCCTTGTTTTTCTGGCTATTGCAAATAGCACATAACCTATACCCATGCACTAAAAAGAATAAAAGGCTCATTTCCAGCTTACCCACAAACTTCTGTGGGGTGGAGCTTTTACGCTTTCCCATGTTGCTTGTCAGCTTCTCTATAACAGCAGGTCTCTCAAAAGGCACCACAGAAATATTGTTGTCCATCACAGGCTCTTGTTCCTTACAATCTTCCAGAGCAGGTACTACATAAAAACAAAAACTGGTATCAGACAGGTCTGGTGTACACATCACAGACAACACAAATCATTTGAGCCCTGCTGACTGTGCAACAAGTGCAACCCAACATAAAGCAAGGTGTGAGAACAGTTCGGGCATCAAGACAGCAATCACCTGTAAGAAGAGCCTCATTCACAAAACATCTCTCTTTGGGAACATCTTACTTAGCAGAAACCCAACTTTAAGTATTTGTGAAAGGGCTTGTTTTGCTCTGGACACACAAGATTGCCAGTGAGGAGAGGACATTTTTGAAAACTTACTGTGTAGGTGACATTTTGTGTTATTCTCTCTTCAATACGGTCACCTGTCACCAATGTAAATATTTAGTTATCATTCTTTCTGTATTCCCTTCACACTTACCATACAGCATAATTATTCCTATTATTACTATTATTATTATTATTATTATTATTATTAATCTTTTTGCACTAATCACAATGATTAAAAATCACACAAGGCATTGATGAGTTGTGTTTGTTGTGCTCCTTAAGACAAAGGGTTCTCAAATGAAGGATCAGTTTGTTAAAGCATATTTCCTCTCTTCACATTGTAATGAGACTGTAAAATTAACACACACTGTACAGGAATTACAAGATTAACATCACATGGAAATTCCCTTCACTATCACACAGACACTGCCCATTTTTTTATTAATATTTTTATCCCCTCAAGCACAGATCTAACAGCCTGCAAAAAGAGGTTTTCTGCATCTTACTTCACATCATCAGGGATCAGGGATCAGCAGGGAGCATTCCTGTGCTAACTACATCAGGGGGAATGCTCATACACTGAGACAAACAAAAAACCAATAACTTCTTCTGTCTTTACTCATTTCACTCTTTGTCATTTGCTGGTTTAGGGAATAAGGTGCTAAAGCTAAAATGTAGGAATTGAACAGGCTTCTAACCAGGGTAGTGAGCCACTTGCACAGGGTTTTATGTCACTTGCTGATATAGCCATTCTTAAGGACCAACAAATGACTTTGGTTTTGTTGAGCATCCTCTTATAATCATTGTCTTATAATCAGTGGTACCAGACTGTGGATCAGGCCTGGAGAGTCCCAGTCATTTGCAATATATATCAAGTGTGTAGCTCTGCTCTGCTGCTATGAGTTTAATACCAGGCCTAGTTGTCCTGCATTCATCCTCAGAAGGCAGCAAGAAAAACCTGAGAGGGATCAGCCACCAGTCCATGTGCTAATGGGATGGTTGGGGTATAAAGAATGGATGGCAGAAAAACAGAACCTGGGGCAATCTGGCACAGAGTTCCTACAGTTTGTAAACTGAGAGGAACCCATTGCATTCTCTGTCTTAGAACAGGCTCCCAGCAAAGTGCTGGGTATTGCAGAGGTGGCAGAGAAGGACTGGCACCCTCATGTTCTGCCAACCCTCCTCCGGTCTCTCACCATGGCAGCCTTTTGTGTCACAGACACCTTCTCCCAGACAGTGCCATAAATGAACTCCACCAGCCCACTTGCCTCCCATGTAACTGCACTACCTTCAGGATCCTGGCATGGAATAATCACCCCCTGTTCCTAAACACAGCTGTTTGCTAGCACATAATATACGAAAAATGGGGTGATAAAAGCCTTGTCTCTGCCTTCTTTCTAGTAAGGAAGAGCAAATACCAGGCAATTACAAAACAGAGTATCTGCTCAGGTGAACTTCTCAATTCAGACATCCATAATAAGAAAACATGGCAATTTATTCATTTGATTCCATTTGTGCCTCTGCTGCTATGCAAAGCTGAGTACTTTGAGGCTTAGAATCTACCATATGCTGTAAAATGATTTACTCTGCTGCTTTTATATTTGTACAGGATGCTCCCCCTGAGAAACACAATGGTTTCTCATTTACAAGGCAGTCCTGCTGGCATCACTGAAAGGGAGGGGAAAAAAGCATAAATATGAAATGAATCTAATGTTGCAACAAAATGGAATGCAGTGTTCAAGTGACCTAATTAATGCCCAGTGCAGACTGGGAGCCTTGGAACACTTCAATAGCTAAGGGTAAAGTTTTAAGGTTAATTAAATACCATGCTTGGTCAGGAGCTATCTGCACACTCAAGTATTTACCAAGGAGATTTGGGAAGAAAGGAAAGATGATGTCTGCTGATTTTCACTGGGAACTGGCAGCTGACTGTCCTTTTTTGGCTTCCCCAAGCTCTGTGGATGCATGCACACGCACACACACGCTGTGAATCCCAGGATGTGACTGCCATGGGCCATGTCCACCTGGATGCCACTTCAAGGATTTCCAGCCCTTGGTGCACAGGACACTCAAGGCTGCTGGTGTGGTGCTAGGAAGGTGCTCAGTCCCTCCTAGGAACACCTGCTCAAGGCATCTTGAACCAGTTCAAAGCTCCCAATTATTTTAAAAGCCATCTGAATAAGCCCCAAATGTAGCAACATTTGTATGGTCTTATAACAATTAAGTAATAATTAAATAATTCTGCTGCTGGGCATATGTGTGTAAAATTTCCTACACATAATTTGAAACCTTTCTTCCATGAAAAATGAATAGTGCTAAAAAAGACATCTGCTCTTTTCTAAGTCAGGCAAAAAATCCTGCTTGGACTAATTTTTAAATTAAAACCATCAACAATAAGAGCATTTTCTTTTCCATCTTTCATGGTGAAGGTACTTTTTCCCACCTCAGAACCCAAGTCTATAATCCAGGGCACTTTTCTTTTGCAACAGAATCACACCAATATTTGTGTTATGACTGAAATACGTTACCAGAATGTGTTTTGTTATGCAGATTTCCTGGGAGAAGGGAAAGAAGGAAGTAGTTTAGGACTAGTTTCTGAAACCATTTAAATGGCAAGCAAAACTGGACCAAACAGATGAGATGTCACATTTCAGAAAACCAAAAATCAAATATCACATTGACAATTCTAGATTTCATTTCAATTTAAAAAACACACAAATAAAGGACATATAGCACAGCCTCTATTTTTTTTTTAAGGAAAAAACAAAATAAGAAAGGGGAAAACCAAAGTGATCACACACAACTACCAGTTCTCAACAATCAGCTGCTCTGTAGTAGAAGCTCGTGTACACATTTACTCAGCAGTAAATGCAATTCCTTTTTTGTTGTAGTACATCCTACTTCATTACCTTGGTAGTGAGAGCAACCAAAGAACAGCTGACAGGATATAACTAGCTCAGATACAGCAACTCATTTTATGCTGAGAATTTACAGTCTCAGCTCAGGAAGACTTTTTTATTCTAAAACTCAAATTTCCAGCCCAGGAAAAGCCCTGAGTATGTTTCTGTTCCTCATCAGCTATCAGGGTGTGCTTCTGGATTGCCCATGGAAGAGTTCACCACCTCTAACACTGTCAATACTCAACTGCAGTTAACACAAAGTACTGTTTCTAAGCCTAAATTCTCAATTCATAAACTTGGATAGTCTTCAGAACAGTCTTTCTTTTCCTGAAGACATTGTTTTTTCAATCATAGTGAATATCTTTAACTTTTTACTATTAATTTTTAAGAAACCACATGAACTATTAAAAAAGTTTATGCTGTACTAGTGAGGAAAGAATAGGGGAAAAAAGAGAACTAAAAAAATTACCCAGTGTGTGTTTTGCTGATAAATATTTTGTGTGCAGACACCAGACACTGGGCTAAGTCTCAGCTGGTACAAATTAGTATTACTCCATCAACCTCAATTTCCTTTCTGAAGCTCACAATATTGCTATTTAAATGAAGTGTGTGTGTGCAGAGAAATGACAGGAAATATTCCCATGGACCCTGGTGGGAAGTGTCCTGTGGGACCAGCATTTTAACGATGTTTTAAGCCACTAAGTAAGAGGGAAAGACACAAGGCCATTGTGTGTTTTATGTGGAGCTGGCCTTGGAGCCTCACACAGCCTAGGGCTAGCTTCCTTCTCCTTCTCCTGAAAAGAGTACCCTTCTCCATTCCCCTGGAAGAATTTCTCTGGACTTTTGGCTTTGTGGCAGTGGATAAGAAGACGTAACTGGGTGTAAACCATAGCTAGCCTTCAGTATTTCACCCTGTCCTTTCCTGCAAAGGTCATGTTCTTGGGATTCTGGGACTGTCCATTTTGTCACCCCAACACACTGCTAGCTAGGAGACTGCAGAGTAATTTTTCTTTCGAGAGCCAGCACTGCTTAGCTGAAAATTTTCAACAACAAAATCTTGGGATCTCTCCTGCAGCATCTGTCCTGCTGAGCAGGGAACAGGAACACAAGCAGGGGCAGCTCGACAAGCAGCTGGCACCCTACAAGAGGATGGAGCGAGACCCAAAGATTTGTACACACCCCTCAAAACTAGCCCTCCTTCCTCCTCTCTTGCTTCCCCTTGTGGCTTCAGTCAGGTGATCTAGCCATCTGCAAGACAGAGATAATTGAAAACACCAAAGTAGATGTCTGTAGCACGCCTATAAACTGATAGGCTTGAGCACAATGCTTGAAAAAAATCCAAACCCTCTAGGGGCTGCTTCCAGTTTTCTGGAACAATTAGTCTCTGCAGAAATAATTTGGATCAATGCTCAGTGTTGGCCAATGCTGGTGCTGTTAAAGCAGGAGGAGCAGGATGCTGATAGGGATAAGAAAATCCCCACCTCTCCCTATTCTGCATGCCATGGTGAAATTGTGAGCAGGAGTCACACCAAAATGCACTCCAAAGTTTCAAAATGCTCAGCAAAAACAAAACACCAACTATTTGGAAAGAGAGTCAGGAAAGCTCAACCCCAGTGGGATGCAAAATAATAGTCTCCAAAACATACTCTTAGTCATCCTCAGGAATATCATTTCCATGTGTGACATGGGAGACAAGGAATACCATTTTTTCAGGATTAGTATAAGGCCTAATGTTAAGCCCAGTAATCCTTTTTTGTAATCTTCCCTGGTGTCTTTACAGTCCCAGGAAAAAGGACTTCACTGCAGACCTCTGCAGGCTGGTGCTCATGACCCTGGTGCTGAGCTTCACAGGTGTGAGTGATGCTGGGATGTGAGCTGAGATTTATTACTGGTCCCAGCTGAACCTGGAGCTCCCTGTCGCTACCTGTCCTCGCTGTGCCCTCACTAAACAACTAAATGAAGACAGTGGATCAAACATCCCCTTAAACATTCACCAGGGGAGGCACAGACATATTTGCCTGGAGGAGAAAGAAGCACTAGTTGAATTCAAAGTGCTGGTTTAAGCTAATTTTGTTGAGAAAAGTGAAGTGGTTGTGTGAACACTTCTATTTTAAGCCCAAGCAAAGTCAGGCTGTAAATAAAAGAACTGTCCACATGGGATTTGCACTGGTTTAACTTCAGGTGGTAGAAGAATCAATGCAAGGTCAATCACTGCAGCTTCTTTGGGCAGGCAAGGTTAAGGACTTACCCTTCTTGTCATGGCATTAGGCAGCTTAGAAAAAGCTTTAGATTTCCTCAGAAATTTTGATTAATTTATTATTTTAATAAATAACTGAGTGGCATTTGGGAAGCTCCTCCACAAGAGGATCTCAAACATCCTGGCTATCACAGCTCTGGGCAGCCTCCTGTTATTCCCTAAGGAGAGGCTGACTGAAGGCATCCCTCCCTGGTTAACAGGACAGGCACGAGCAGTGTGTATTTTGTTGGGAATCAATTCAGTGGTTCAGCTCCTACCTAACTGACCAAGCCCACAACAGGTACCTCCAAAGAGCAAAGCCCTGAAATGTGCCTTTTCACTGACTTTTACCAGAAAAAAAGCCACCTCAGGCACACAATCGCTCACTTCAATATCTTTAAAACATCCATGACATTTTAAATGTTGACTTTAGTCTCCAGGGTGTCTACAAAGAGAGCAATTACTTAATAGAGCTGTATGAATATTTTGGTGACAGGCACTAAAAATGTCTAATGTGCCTTTATAGGCTTAAATTGGTCATGGGAAAGTACTATTTAAAAAATTTTGGAGACCTCTGTCACCAAAATATAGCCTATAGTAGCAGTGTTGAATAGATTTTATTTCAGCTGGCATTTTCAGGTTTTTAAAAATTATTTTATAGAAATAATTTCCAGATGAAGCTGTTTCATAATCATGAATTATCATGATTCACTCAATCATGATAAGCAAAATAGAGAAAAAAAAAGAAAAAGTGGAAATGCTCTTTTGCCTTTTCATTTACCCACAGCCTTTTTTTTTTGTATTTGTAGGTATATGGTAATTTTTAATCAAAATGGAAAAAATGCCATTTTGATATTTTCTGAATAGTAAGAAATTTTAAAGACTCCAAGTACCAGATATCTAAAGGCAACTTTGAAAAGTTAGAAGAAGCTCAGTTTTAGAAGAGTTTGTGAGACACTAATTTTGAATAAAATTATAACCATTTTTGGACAGCTACCATTTAGCACTACAGATAAGCCTTCAACCCTGCAGTCTGAGACATTATGCTCATTATCCATACTAATAGCTCCAGAAATTTCTGAAAACAAATTCACAGAGTTTGACATTTCTTGCTTTCAACAATCTTTTTGGCAATCTTCAATCCTTATGTATATTAACACATGCAGTGTTAGTTAACATATTAATACTAGCAAATGTAAATGCATACAAACATTCTTTTGTGTTATAATTACTTTCTACAACACTATTGAATTCCATTCTGCTCTAGAGATTTTTACATCCATCCCTCCCTTTTTTGGAGGGATAAGATAATATTACAGAGGGTAGAAATAATGACTTCTGAATACCTCTGCAATCCTTATCTTTTCTAATTATCACTCACTATCAGAAAGGAAGGGGAAAAGAATCATACATTTTATACATGGCTTTGACTCCCAGCATAAGAAGTACATGGAGGTGTTGGAGCAAGTCCAGAGGAAACCTTAGAGATGCTCCAAGGGCTGGAGTTCCTCTGCTCTGGAGCCAGGCTGGGACAACTGGGAATAAGGGAAGGCTCCAGGGAGACCTTAGAGCTCCTTCCAGTGCCTGAAGGGGCTCCAGGAGAGCTGGAGGGAGATTTGGGACAAAGGACGGAGGGACAGGACAAAGGAGAATGGCTTCCCACTGTCAGAGGGCAGGGGTAGATGGGATAGTGGGAAGAAATTCCCCCCTGTGAGGGTGGTGAGGCCCTGGCACAGGCTGCCCAGAGAAGCTGTGGCTGCTCCATCCCTGTGAGTGTCTAATGCCAGACTGGATGGGGCTTGGAGCAACCTGGTGTAGTGGAAGGTGTCCCTGCCCATGGGGTGTAACTGGAGGGTCTTGAAGGACCCTTCCAACCCAAACCACTCTATGATTCTATGATATGACTTTGGTAATTTTGAACAGGTGACTTGGCTTTATTTTCGTGTCTGTAAATGTACACATACTAAAAAGTGAAATACTGACTTAAAACAACATAAGCACAAATAGGGCTGTTAAACTGGACAGAGTGAGGATTTTAGCTCATCTTTTCTTCTCCTGCCTCTCTGAGTGTAAGCAACCTCTGAGATGGAAGCGATGCAAAGACGAAAGGAAGGAAGAAAAAGATGGAAAGAAACCCGCATGAGACGCTCCAAGTCCAAGGGAGCTCCGGAGGCTGTTTGCACCCACCATGGTGACTCATGACCTGCCCAGCAGCCTCCAGACTGACATTCTGCAGATAGTTGTGGCAGCGTTCCTTGTGCTCCTCCAGAGAACTGCGCTGCTTGTAGCTCCGGCCGCAGTAGTTGCACTTGTGAGGCTTCCCCACTGCGGAAACAATGAGAGCATTGGGTCAGATCCACGGCAGCCTGCTTCTGCAATCACCAAAGCTCACACCTCTGCCACAAACAACTCTTGTGATGGAAAGACACCTAAGAAAGGTTACTCAAGACTCAGGCCTTTCTTCCAGCCCCGCTTTCCCACCGCACATGCCTCCTCCCACCCGCCGGGTGCTTTGCCCCATCCATTTTTCACACTAACGCTGTATCAGCAGAAGGAAAAGGAGGCGGCCTTCGTGGCAAAGCAAATAAACAGATGTCGAGAGGGGGAAAATACCAACCAGCTGAATCACACCCCAGCACCAAGTCTCGTGGGAAAGAAACTTCTGAGGTCTTTGGCCCATGGCACAGCTGCCTTCACAAAAATAAACTGCCCCAGTGGCCTAATTTTTCTCCCAACTGTGGGGAAACCTATTACGTGGCTCAGAGGAGTTCTTTCATTGAGAATACTTTGCCAATATTACTCAGGGAGGGTTGGAAAATAAATTGAAAGTAACTTTGATAACAGCACTGTTACATGCCAGAACTGAACAGCCACCAGTGATTCAGAGACCAGATAATATTAAAAAAATATATTATATAAATATATATACATAAAATTACAAAAGGCCATGTACAACGAAAATCAAGCCACATGAATGCAAGACGTTACTCAAGTTTTTAATCTTTTTCATTTTGCTCAGCAGCATTAAGCATGAACAGCAAATGCTTCTTAATACACGCAAAACCTGGCACCAAATTCTCATAAATTATATCCATTTCATAGCATGTCATTAAGAAACCACAAGAATGGCCTAGCCCAAGGCCAGAAAGCTAGCCAGAAGGTATTTTGCCAAGTGGTGCTAATAAAGGCTTTTAATATAATTTAAACTTGTAGAACATGAACATTTATCCTCTAATAACTAAAGAGCTATTAAGTCAGTACTGCAAGTCTAGTAAAACCCCATCGGCTGCAAAATTCAGAGCTGGCTGAGGGAAGGGGAAGGTCAAACTTCTTCTAGAGTTTTGAAAATCTTAGGTAAGAATTTTAGTTTCTGGCCAAAGAAATTGAGAACATCCTCTGTTGGGTAATCTACATGTTTCTATTGGGTTTGTCCCAATATTGAAAGCTTTTCGCAGTCATTTACTTAATGAAATCTGAGCTGTACTAATTGCAGCCAAACTGCACCGTCACCACTGGGATGGGAAAACGCAGAGAAGCCGTGAGGGGACAGGCACAGCCAAGAATGAGCTGGCCAGAGGGCTCAAACATGAAAAATCTGAGTCAGGGCAACTCTCAGGGTCCTCAGCAAGACCAGCACGTGCCACATCCTATACAATCCCATGGTATCACAGCTGGACCAACATTTTCAAATGTTTCTGTCTCAGAAAAAAGGGATTTGATGAAAAGAACATGCTTGCAGAAAGCTTTGGGTTTTCCCCAAAAGTTTGTGTGCACATTTTAGTGACACAACCAAGTTTTCCACCAAGGGAAGAAAACCCCCTGGCTTTTAGTAAATATCTAAACTGTGGAATTCTTTGTTTCAAGACAAGGCTTATCCTCAAGAAAGTGTGTCTCAGACCAAAGAGCTGTTGTGGCCTTTATTTCAGTTTGCTCACTTGCTTCCACTGTTGCCATAACTGATGCTGGTAATGGAATTCTCAGTGGAGGCCCAGCATGAGACTCATTATCATTCCCAGAATAATTGCCCTTGATGTGAACGAGCTCTTAAACATAAACCAGCCAGTTCATTCTGGAGGCACCTTTAGGAAAATACACCAGAGGTTCCCCAGGATGGAAAGACTTCTACAATCACCATTACAATGCTTCATCGTGCATCTAGATGGCATCAATGTCTGTCAGTCTGACACCTTAATTAGAAGCTAATGTGGTGTCTAATAAAAACATCCGGTGCAATGGAAGGAATTATGTTAACTGAGCTGAAACAGGGCTGAATTAGCCCACCCAGTCTGGCTACACAAAACTATCAAGCAACTTAGATAACTGTAAGACACAAAGAAAAGGGGTGATTGCTTGCAGCTATTTTAGGCAGCTACAATTAATTACATTATTATCATTGAACAGAGAGGAAAAATATTCTGCTACAAGTTCATATTATAAAAAATTAATAATTAATAATTAGTCAAAAAAGAGGTTTTATTAGACCGCTTCAAATGGTTGCTGCCTGCATTGCAACCATTTCAGTAACTGTTCACATACAACATGGCAGAGCTTTTCCAATGATATCTTGGATAGTCAGCTACCCAAATTCCATCAAATTTGAAGGTTAATAGAGAGTATAAAAGTTAATGATAAAGACATGATTTTTACATGCAATATGGGATTTGAGGAACATAATTCCTCAAGGAAAGAAATAGGCACAGTATGCACGTTCCCTTCTCTGGGGGGAATATAAGAGAATAAACAACATGTGGCAAATGTTGGTCATATTGCTTAATACACAACTGCAAAGAATGAAGTTTGTGAGTGCCAGTTGAGTAGTATCAAGCACAACCCCCCTGGGTTCATTTCCCAACTCCAACCTCCCTGGCTCTAGAGATGCAATCACATCATAGCCCCAAAGGTGTAAAATCTGATTTACACTATAAAATTACACAGAGTGACTGTGACTTGCGTTAAAGAGCAATTGATCAGGTCAGACCCCAATGGAATCAGTTCTGATAGCAGGAGTTTGTGTCACCAGCAATTCTCACAGCCCGTCGGATAAGAGGTTCAGTGAGCTGAGGCAGCAATTACAGTCAAGATTTTAGAAATTGTATCATTGTGACAAATGTCAAGCCACCGAAATAGCTGCAAATATCCCCTTGTATTCTCAACAAAGTTAATGACAAAAGAAAAAAAAAGGGAAGTGAATATTGCCAGTGGGTGTACATTTCTATGTATTTCGTATTACCTGATAGAAAGATGCAAAAGCCTTTTAGAGAATTCAATTTCAGTGATAATCTCAGCAGTGTACTTTGTTCCACATAACAACCTGACATGATACCACATGACTAACGAGAAAGATTTCAGCCTTTCTCAAACACTTGAGTGCAGGTAAACAGAGATATTCAAAATTTTCCCCCAAAACATATAGCTCACACTGCTGGACATAAGCAGTCTCTGACTAAAGGGCACTGGCTTGAGGGTAAGGAGCCTAAAAACTCTACACCTACCAAAACGCTCTCAAAGCCCTCAGTAAAGACAGGTCTTTCTATCACAGAGCCATTTTCACTGTGAAACCGCTCCAAGTTTGCTTGATTAGAAGCTGCCTTCTCCAAGATCTGCACAAACACGGCCACCACATTCGGCATCACACGCAACCACTGCTTGCCAAGCAAAGTCAGGCTGGAAATCCCTGCTTTGGGGTAATTATTCCTTTATCAGCTTTTTAGGATCAACAATCAGATAAAAAATCATCGCCACTTATTCTCACAAAAATGACATGGCACAGTCAATGCAAACAAGCCCAAAAAAACTTGAGAAATCTTTAATCTGTTGTTGAACTGGGAAAGACCAGAGTTCTGGGCAAAACCCAGTGGCCACACCTATGAAACAGCTAACTTGAAGAACATAAAAAACCCACTTTAGATTTCTTACTGAAATGTCAGAATTTCCACGCATTTAAGCTCAGATTTGGACAGATGACAACATGGCACAGAAAACCCACGGTGGAATCTCAGCCTCAAATGGAAAATATTATGACAGTCACAGTGAAAAAGACATTTAAGTTTGAAGTACAATTTTTACCCTAGAAACAGGTGAGCCACCCGTCAAAATTCACAGCAAAATGGATTTTGCTTGTGAAATTAAAATGCTCATGTGGAGGGAGGAGGGGAAAGAGGAGGAGGAGGACATAGAAGCAAGGTGTTTCTGAGTTAGGAATACTTTGAGTCCTGTGGGTGAACTTTGATAGCTGAGAAGTCTGCGTGCTGCGACAATGAGATGGTGTAACTCTAAGGTCAATATTCAAGACAGAAAGCAGACTTGGGCCTAGGGAAACTTCTTTAGAGTCATAAAAAAAAGGTCAGTGAAAGAGAAAGAGCCTGCAAGGCATTCACACAGCATTTTGCTCTCAAAAGAGATGGGAGTGCATAGCAGAATATAAAGTAAGTCAAAGGGAAACAACAAGGCATCCCAGGTACCACCTTGCCATGAGCATATAAAGCGAGAAAGGCTTATGGAATGGGTTCAGAGCTGCAGTGCACTTTAGTGAGCTAAAATCCTGCCTCCCTTAAGAGCACAGACACTACACTCCCTGGTTTGGGTAGCACATTGTCCTCTGCAGCAATGCAGAGCAGAATTCCTCCCTGTCCATTTGCTCATGTCCATGGCCACAGCTTGAGCATTTGCACGTCCTGCTCAGGCAGGGCTGGGCATCGCTGCCTGTGTGACCTGGGCTGGCCCAGTTCAAGGAGCAGAGGCTTTGCCCAGATTTCCATTACTTTTGCTAGACTGTAGAAATGGAGCCAGCCAGGATTTTTGCATTGCATGGCCATCTAACACAGCTACTTTTGGCTCAGACCAAGAGACTCTGACAGAAGCACACTGAGTGGGACTTACTTCTGTAAAATCTGAAGTCCTGCTCAGCCCTTAGCACCCCAGAGCTGGAGCAAACATCAGTATTCTCTGACTGAAGTTTTCTGGAGCAGTGTTAAAGTTAAAATGTTCTTTTGAGCTGATATTTCACAGAATCACAGAATGAGCTAGGTTGGAAAAGACCTTTGAGATCATCAAGTCCAACCTCTGACCTAATACCACCTTATCAACTAAACCATGGCACTGAGTTCCACGTCCAGTCTTTTTTAAAATATGTCCAAGGATACTGACTCCACCACATTCCTGGGCAGCCCATTCCAATGCCCAATCACTCTTGCTGTGAAGAATTTTTTCCTTATGTCCAGGCTTAACTTCCTCTGCCACAGCTTAAGGCTGTGTCCTCTTGTCCTATCAGTGGTTTCCTGAGAGAAGAGACCGACCCCCTCCTGACTACAGCCTCCTTTCAGGGA